ATTTCAAATATTATGTTTTGATTGTTTTCTTAATTTTTATGTATGATTTATAAATAATAATGCCGTGTCCATGCTGTACTCCTATCCCGAATTGACATGCCCCGTATCTGTATCATGTCGTATCCGTGTCCTTGTATCCATATCAATGCAACATAGGTTATTGGGAGATTCCAAGGCCTTGTTTCGCCAAATAGAAAAACTACGTAAACAAGCGAGTAATATATATTGCAGGAGAAAATATTATGTGTGGAGTCTGGACATAACTCGGGCCGGAATACACACACTATAATGAATGTAGCATAAGAGGTGAAAATTCGTTGGAAGAATTATAAAATTCACTTTGTGTGAGAGAAAGCTTTAAAAGTTGATTTATGTTGGAAAATATTTTGTATTGGAAAGTTTTAAAGTTTGCTTCATATTAGAGGGTTTCATGATTTTGCTCTATGTCACAAAGTTTTATGAGTTTTGGAGAAGTGTTTTAAATCCTCACTTTCACAAGTTTAAGATCTCATTATGTTGTTTATGGTGGAATTGAGAGAGGTAAGTTGTCATATATTCAAAGTTTTACCAATGAGTTCAACATGATTACTTAGCTTACGTGTTCAACACGATTTCTTAGCTTATACATGAATACATGCACTTTTATTAATATTATATTGATTTCAAGATTAAGATATTAATATAATCGATCAGGACAAAGATAAGATATTACTGATGAATCTTCATGTGTAGATTTTATACGATATGCCTACATAATTGATATCACCTTTTGCATTATAATGAATATCTGATAGTTGTATAGATATTTTGCTTTGATGACTGATGAACCTCTTCACTGATATGATCTTCTTACAAATTTGATAATGTTGCACGAATGATTTTCTCGATTTATTGCCTTACCATTCTCGCATTCATAATAGCAATATTTTCTATGACTTATGATTTCTAGAATCACCATTTTGCTTAGATTTTTTATTTGAATGCTACTGTTATGATTGGAACGACTAGATGCATGTTGTTTACAATTGTGATTTAACTATAGTTGTAGGTTTTAGTTTTCTACTAGGTTTTTAGCTTATTATGTCGATTTAAATTATTTTAAGGTTGGCGGAAGGATCCAATGCTGTAAGGTTGATTAGTGTTTGGACTTTCATGATTAATTTTATTTTTTTCATTTCTCTGGGCCAATTCTTAAAAACCTAAAACCTTAAAAATTTATCTCCTCTATTCAAGCCCTATGGTGCCTATTTGTGGCATACCATAGGTATCCCATGACCTTGAAACGCATCTTAGGTGTCCTAGATCTTCTATTGGACCCACCCAATATGTTGACGAGTTAGGGTCAACTTATCTAACCCTAAGTTTGACTTAATTATTCTCTTAAACAAAATGTTTAATCCAAATTAAACCCTAAGACATTGGCATTATCTCCGAGTTAGGCTAACTCATTTTATGGTCACTTGTGGCCATATTTAATTTAAATTTAAAACAAGTAGATAATGGTTTGACCATATAAACCAAATGAACTAACCTTAGTTTATTGGAACTAAACCCAATTCAAATAACTTTAAACTTATTTAAAATTTATTACATCCTAACTAAGATAATAAGTGAGGTACCCCAGGATACCCAATCCACCTAGGATATCCTAAGCGTGCATCCAATGAACATATCCCTAGCTAACCGCTATATATAATTCTCACCTTCCTATGCCCAGTTAAGGCACTCATTCAACTCTTTGAGCTCCATGAACCCTAGTTAGTATGCTTATTGAAACTAGTTAAGCAGATATTCCCATTAAATTTGATGAGCTCAAAGCATCACAATTCAAAATTACCAATCCAACTATTCCAGGCCTTTAAAGTGATCATGGATACATGTCCCAACCCTATTAAGCAATTCATAGCTACTTAGCTAGCTAGTAATGGCCAGTGATGGCCATAGTTTCATCCTAATTCATTAAACTTGGTTTATAAGTACATGATGTTTGGGCTAATTTTGATGCATAAATTTGAATCTGTTAAATTCCATCATGAGCTCATGAGCATTCCCTACCCTCCCTCCCTTAACTCCCTCTTTATGTGCATGAAGGCTGAGCTTTGATGAACTTAGTATGATTGTTAATATATAAAACAATTAACAAGGAGGCTATTTAAGGAAACCCTAAATTCACTTTGTCTTACTTCATTGAAGCTCTCTAGCATCATAGCTTTTAAAATTCCTTCTCATTCAAGTATGTTTGAAACCAAAGTTTAAAACATTAGTAATCATTATTATATGCGGTGAAATCATGACTATGATCTAACTAACCTAATAAAATGCTTACTCTATCTACATAATGCTATGGGATTAAATTTTAATGCATGAATTTGATTATATAGCCAATGAGAGGTGTACTAGTGCATTTAGATTCATCCATTAGGGTTATGAGAGGAATATGATGATTAGGTTGTTTTTTTATAATTTAACTCACATGGATTACACAATCATCCTACCATTCTAATTAAGCCAATTAGAACTTGAGAAGTAGAAAAGACTACCTTCTTAACCTAAGAATTAGAAAATGTATTAAATTAATCAAATAATCTAACAAAACTTAGGAAATTCATATCTCTATGAATACTTAACCAATTTTATTTTAAATTGGTGAATATAATGGGTGCTATTATATTTAATTTCAAAAAATAAATCATTCCATAAATATAAAATTTAATTAATGAAGAATATTTTTAATGATGTAATTAAATGACCTAAGAAAACTCAGTTTCTCTCAAATTTATATGAAAGATTTATGATGGTTCCTTAGACATCTCTGAAATTCATCATATGATTTTAATGCATGATAATATATCAGTCAAAATAGACCCTAATTGGCCCTAATTTTAGATAATTTATTTATAATTTAAAAAAATTATATAAATCTAAGACCAAATCTCAAACATCTTACTAGCATAGACAGTAAGAATAACTAGATTGAGGAATTAGAATCCCTTTTTAATTTTCCAAACAATAAACTCTAATTATTTTAAAGAAATTTTATAAAACTCTTTTTAATTTGAATTGACATCTAACTTTTAAAGGATGATTCCTAGATTGCCCGTAACATATGGTTTCAATTTCAATAGGTGTGTAGGTTTTTATGTTAAAAATTTATCAATCTCTAATTCTAGGCTAAGTAGAGATTCTCTAATTAAAGTATAACAAGTGCACTCATTCCGTTCTCTATCCTCTTTCTCAACTTCTGCTCTAATTTTTCAATTTTCTTATCATAGTGGTGGTTGTTGGTACATTCCTTTAGCTTCCTTTGCTTCCTACTAGTTTATCTTAAGGGAGAGGGGGTGCATAGCACAACCCCCACTCATTGGCTACATTGAGCAAGTGGTTGTTTTGCATCACATCCTGCAATTGCTCAAAATTCTCAGCCTAATTCTCATGGTAAACCATATAAAGTGGAAACTTATTCTCAAGATTATTTAAGAACAAATTTGGCTAGCAAATTATTTATCTGCAAGATCATTCAAAGATGCCTTGGCAAATATGTATTTTGTTATTCCTTCTCAATTTGGATTCCCATTTCCTCTCATTGGGCAATTTTAGCCTCCACATATCTACTCTATTGAGCATGTGGTTACTTTGCATTAGTTCCAATAATGGCTTCAACATCTCAAGTTAACCCACCTAAAAAATCATATAAATTGGAATCACTTTCTTAAGGTAATTTTGGAAGAGTTTTGGATAGTGAACCCTTACCTTCTTGATCAATCAAAGATGTCTTAGTTGTTATATACTTTCATGTCCCTTCCCAACATGAGTTCCCATTTCCTCTTCTTGAGGGGCTATAGCAATCAAGATAATTGATGATATGTCAGAATGTCTTGTGGCTTCTTTGGTTGTAATCTTATTCAATAAATTTTAGCTTAAGCATCCTACGACTGAAGCCATAAGAGCCGTATTCTTTAGTCTTGATCTTGTTAGAGAGTTCTATGTGGGTTTGCTGCAATGACCAAACTTTGACAATGGATGAAAAAGAGTGCAACAAAAGCTTTATATATATATATATATATAACAAATCATTGAGCATAATTGTATGTATGATTATTTGGCAATTTATTAATAATTTTGCATGTTTTGGATGATTTTAATTGATGAAATATATAGATAAAATTATCTTTAAAAAGTATTTATGCGCTCCACCAATAATTTTTATTTTTTTTTTTTTAATTTTGTGAATGATTAAGTGAATACAACAAATAATAAAGCTAATTAGTTGTATTTTAGATACATGCTCCCCTGCATTCCATTATTCATGATAAGAAAACTTACAACATGATACATATACAATTAGCAAGTAAGATTATCTCCTAGAGAGACACCAAATTGGTTGCAATAGTCATTGTAGATTGTAACACGATCATTCACCGCCGCAGTGTTGCCACCATCACACTCAACGCTATTTATGGCGCGTATTGTTGCACCAAAGCCCTGGTTGACAACACTATGGACATTTTTCATCCAAAGCCAGAGAGCCGTCATGAAGGAATCGATGACGTCCTCGGAGACGAACTCAGGATTGTAGAGACCGTCAATACCAATATATTCACCAGCAGGGCCGTAGTTGTAGTTCCAGGAGATTTGAAGTGGACCACGACCATAGTACTTCCTACCCGGCACGCATGGATATTGCAGGTTGCTCGTGTCACAGTAAGACAATGATTTTTCCACCTCTTCTATGTAGCAAAAATCTATACAAATTGATTACACACATGCATGTTACATTAGTAATTTTGTAAGTCATGATACTTGTATTTATAAAATAATCTTTCGAAAAAACAAAGTCATTCAAATTCAGTTATATTATCTTCCAATTAAGGAATTTTTATACTTCAAATATTTTATATTCTTTTTCAAAAAAAAAAAAAAAAATCCTAACAAATTAATGAATATAAATTTTTTATGTAGGGTCAGATCAAGATCAAGATGACCATAATTTCCTATAAAGATGGTTATAAAGTTGCTATGAATAAAACAACTTTTTTTAATGTTGTTGAAGAAAATAGTTTCATAGCATAAAAATTTATTGAAAGCTTTAAAAAAGCAATGGCCTCATAAAAACCATGGTTACAGCTTGAAAAGCAATGCGCTGCACTAAGAAAGCTGTCCCAAACGAAGTCAAAAAGTCCGTTTGGATCGGCTGTAGCTTTTTATAAAGATAGTTGTAAGAAGAAAGCAGCTTTTGTGAATGCTTATGTAGAAAAATAAAGATCAAACGAGTAAAAAAATTGTCTCAAAAGAAAAATAATATGCTTACGATTGGTCTCGTGAGTGACGTGGGCAAAGAAAGCAGCGATCTCTCGCTTAGAGTCATCCTCAGTACCTCCCTGAGCGAACATAAAGAACGCATCAAGCGCTTCGAGGAACGCCTTTCGGGTGTAAAATTCTTTCCCTTCGCAACTGCTGTCTGCTTGGTCAATAATACTATTAAAGAACTCCTCTGTCACCCAGTTATCCACAATAAAGGATCCGTCAGACGAAGTCGGTCTATAACAAGGCCCCGACTGACAGCCGTCGTCGTCGGAGAGGTCTCCGGTAGCGCGGTAGCCGTACTTGCTGCAACAGAGGTCCTCTGTGCACCCACAGCTCTGCGCATGGGCGAGGGTGCCGGCAGCGAGGAGAAGGGCGGCGATGAGGAGTTGCACTTCGGCCCTGCCAATGAATGATTTAAAACAGAGCTACTATATTGATTATAGCAGAATGAGAGGTGAGAGAGTAGAAAACGTGGTCGAGAATTGTGGCATTAAGAATCTGTCGGCGACAGCTACATATTTGTTTCTTTTTCATATCATAATTGTCTTTCCTGTAGCTATCATATTTTTAATACTTTTCAAAAGAAAATTTTGATATTTATAATCAGATTATCTTAATGTGTGGAGTGTATTTGATTTTTCTATAATTCTTAGAATAATAGTAATAATAATAATAATAACTGCTTTAATTATTGGGGGATTCCAAGGCCTTGTTTCCCCCAAAGGGGTGCCAATTTTGGGTCACGGGTCTGGTTCGGGTCGAACCCGAAACTGACTACCCGAACCGGACCCGGTACTATTCGAGTCAACCCGAACCCGATCCGTTTCTATAAACGGGTTGGTTTTCTGGACCCGAACCCGATCCGCTTCGAGTCCGGGTCAACCCGACCCGAACGACCCGATTCGGACAAAAAACTGCTAGTTTTCGGGTCCAAAAATGGGTCAAACTCTGCTTTTCGGGTCAAGAACGGGTCAATCTCGAGTTCCCGGGTCAAAAACGGGTTTTTGGGTAAAAAACGGATCAATTTCGGGTTGACGGGTTAACCCGAACATCACCCGATTTTTAAAACCAGTTGAATTATTGAACCCAAACCCGACCCATTTCGGGTTTGGGTTGACGGGTTCGGGTCAACCCAAACCCAAAAATTTTCGGGACGGGTCCAATATTGACACCCCTAGGCCCAAACAGAAAAACTAAGTAAGCAAGTGGATAATATTTTTAGCAGGAGAAATTATTACATGTGGAGTCTGGATATAACTCGTGCTCGGACTCTAATAAAAGACGGCCATGTCGCCAATACACACTATATACAACTTTATACACAGTGTATATTAATACATACACTGTATACAGTAATGTGATTCTTTTATATTGAAGTCCGAACTTCGTTTGGATTTTGCACGTAATAATTTCTCGTTCTGAAATATAGTCAACTTGACTTGGATTGAGTCGAACGGATGCAAAGTGTGACGGATAAAACCATGTGGCCCAAGGGCGTGTCCTGCTTGCGCACACTAAATTGGCTGCCGACGCAAACATATGGAATCACCAAGCAAGCAAGCAAGTTTATCAACATGCATCAATTCTAAGAAGATTTTCCTATGATTAAAATAAAGGGGCTGTTTGATGGCAGAATTTAAGCATGATTCAACCTATAACCTGCCAAAACAGGTAAAGTGACAACTCAAACCAAGTGAAGTGGGGAATGGACATAATGGTAACTACGGCTATCAAAATAGTGTCACCGGGCTAGTTCGGGTCCAACTCGGAAATGTTAAATCCGACCTGTTTTTTTGCAAATGGTCGGTTTTTCAGACCCAAACCCTGTGATGCCCCAGAAATCAATAGTGAAAGGATTCGTCTGACATTCTGATCGAACTCCATTCCAGTTGCCAAGCTCGGACCTGAAAAACTTTAACCACATATAATGAGCTTGGCAACTGGAATGGAGTTCGATCCAAATGTCAGACGAATCCTTTCACTATTGATTTCTGGGGCATCACAGTTGGTATCAGAGCAAGTGTAGTGAAAGGATTTGATTGATAGTTTGATAGAATGGATTCATTCTGCATACATAGTGATTGACATTTGATTGATTGCATTGTGTGTTTGGATTTCGACGAGTTTTGATTTGGATTTGGATTTGGATCGATTTGTTTTTGCGTTGTTAAATTTTGCTTAGTCCTCGATTGAAGCATAATAGAGCCTTATTCCTTTAATCTTGACCTTTGTGTAGAGGTTCATGCGGGTTGCTGGTAGTTGACCAATTTGATAAGCTAAAAAAGGGCAGCAAAAGCTTTTATATACGACAATGTATTACTAAATTTATGTATTGGTTTAAGACCAAATGCGCTCATATTTCTAAATTATTGAATTATAAGTTTTGGAAGCAATATGACAGATTGGTAGTCCTTAAACTGATATATTGTTATTGCTATTGACATATATACTCTTTCTTTTTATTCTAACATGTAAAATTAATTTGCGATTACATTTTATCCTTCATAGTATAGGGCTTTTTTCACTAGTCTATAATTAGCTTCATGGCTTATTTATAAGCTTGAATAGACTAGAAATAATTTGAAGCCAAGTAGACTAGTTTAAGTTTTGAATATGTTATCACCCATAAATAAACTAGTTTGGAGAAGATTGTCTTAAGACAGTGAAGGAACACTAAATTCATTTTAGGATTCAAGTTTTAGATGGAAATATAATAAAGGTTTGAGAAATAAAAATTTGAAAAAAGAACTGAAACTAATAAATATAAAAAAAAAAAAAGAATTTCCTTAAATGCAAATTTCGTTTTCCCTATGAACATGCAAGTGCATACTATAAGTAATTATTTAATCATAATTGGTGAACATCAGAACATGCTCCCCTGTTATCTTATATTTATGATAAAAACTTACAACATAAAGTACATATACATTAACAAGTGAAGATATCTCCCGGGGAAACACCAAATTGTTGCAATAGTTCATTGTAGTTTCACACGATCATTCATCGCCGCAGTTGTTGCCACGCCATTCACACTCAATGCATTTATGCGCTATGGTTGCACCAAAGCCCTGGTGACACACTATGGATATTATTTCATACCAAAGCCAGAGAGCGTGTCTTAAGGAAATGATGGACGTCATGGAGACAATCTCAGAAGTAAGACCTCAAAGCTCAATATCATCACCAGCACGCCGTAGAGTTGTAGTTTTCCAAAGAGATTTGAAGTGGACCGCGAGCCATAGTACTTCTTAACCCGACATGCATGGATATTGCAGGTACTCGTGTCAATCTAAACAATGAATTTTTCCAGCTCTTCTATGTAAGCAAAAATCTATACAACATTGATTAGCACACAGGCAAGTTACATTAGTAATTTGTAATACATGATACTTGTATTTATAAAATATATCTATCGAAAAAACAAAGTCATTCAAATTCAGGTTATATTACTTCCAACAGAAATTTTTATATCTCAAAATTTTATATTAAAATTTATATCCTTTCAAAAAAAAATCTCAACAAATTATGAATATACATTTTTTTTACAAAGGGTTCAGATGAGGATGATCGCATTTCTATAAGGTGTCATAATTGCTAACTGGAAAACAACTTTTTGAATGTAGTTGTAGAAAATAGTTTCCCAGCACAAAAATTTATTGAAATATTTTAAAAATGCAATGGCAACATTAAAAACTATGGTTACAGCTTGAAAAGCAATCAGTAAAAATACCCAACGAAGTCAAAAAGTCTGTTTTAGTATCGGGCTGGTAGCTTTTTATATAAGATAGTGTAAAGAAGAAAGCAGCTTTTCGGTGAATGCTTATGTAGAAAATAATGATCAAACAAGTTAGAAAATATTTCCCCAAATCGAAATAATGCTTACAATTGGTTCTTGAGGCGACGTGGGGAAAGAGAAACAAGAGAGCAGCGATCTCTTCGCTTAGAGTCACATCCTCTAGTACTCCTGACCAAAGCTAGGTATCATCACACCGCATAGAGAAACGCTCTCGGGTTGTAAAATTCTTTCCTTCGCAACTGAGGCTGCTTGGTCCATAATGCTTCGAAGAACTTCCTTGTCACACAATCCTCCACAGAGACTCGCCGAACGAAGACGTCTATCACAAGGCCGACTGACAGCGTCGTCTATGGAGGGGTCTCCGTGGCGCGTAGCACTTGCTGCAACAGAGTCCTGTGCACACCCAAGCTCTGCGCATGGGCCGTAGAGTGGTGCAGCGAGGAGAAGGGGCGAATGAGGAGTTGCCTTTCGCGCCTGCCATAATGAATAAACAGACTACTAATTGATGAGTAGAGGATGAGATGTGGAAAATCGTGGTCGAGAATTGTTAGGTATTAGAATCTGTACGCCCAAGCTTATTCATATGCATAATCTGCCTTTCCATTACTATTATATTTTTATACTTTTCAAAGAAGAAATTTGACTTTGATGATCGAGTTATCTTAATGTGTGAGTTATTGATTTTTCAACTTATATATATCTATAATTCTCAGAATAATATGTCACTATAAAAAAAACTGCTCCCAGCCGCACTAACATGCTATATTTGAGTGCTTTTAGTTATTGGCCTGTGCTTGAAGCCAAGAAGGGCATCGTGTATCCGACCAAACTGATACATGATCACTCCGATAGCCCGATACGTTGTCGGATACGCAAGATGTATCCAGAAAAAAGCTATCTAATTAAAATACCATTAATTTCAAAAGGACAGCGTACCAATATGCTGTGAGAAAAAACAAAAAATATCTGAAAAAGCCGCGTCAATTAACTTCGCGGCTACAAGCGAGGCTGGTTTTCTCATTTTCGAGATGGATTTGAGTCTTTGATAATATAAGAAATTAGAAATTGTTAATCTTTCACTTCATGAGCATGAATTAGAAGCTATGATATTTATTGAAGATGATATAGAAGTTCAATTAAATAGTTAGAACTTCATGTGCTTGACAATC